GAGAAGTGTAGAGCGAAGGGGGAAAAATCCTATAAAAACATCAGATTTTGTGAGAACTCCCTTACTATCACGAGAATAGCATGGGAGAAACATCCTCCAGGATCTAATAATCGCCTGTGAGGTCTCTCTCCTGACATGTGGAGATTACAATTCAGATTATAATTCAAGATGAGATTTGGGCCAGGCACAAAGCCAGTCCATATATCGCTGTGTAGAGAAAATATCTATTTATAGGAGAAAGCCTGACAGCAAAAACATGTAGAGGATGTAAAAATAAACAGATGAACAGCATCAACAGGCAAAAAAGGAAGAATCAGTGATAAGGAAGCCTGTTAAAGGTAACAGAAAGCTGCTTTATGTTTATTTTGAAAATATAATACATCAAAATATAAGGCAAATATCAAACTTTATATAACTAGCAACATAGCATAGAAATATGTAAAACTAAAAGTATTAGAGGAAGAGATATTTTCACACATTTAAAAATAAAAATAAAACACCTTAATACACATCATGAAGAAATTTACACACCAATGAGATAAAATATAACTGACAATCTTGACATTTTAAATATCATAATTAGCAAGTTTGACTTTTATGAAAGTGTGTGTGTGTGCACTTAGACATCAAACTACCTCCAAAATAGAGTTCTTTGTAAACCTCAGTGGAACAGTAATCAAATTTTATTTGAACCAGGAAACAGGAAAAACACCAATCAAATCCTCAAAGTAGCAAATATATCTGCACTTTCTAACTCCAAATAATTCAATTAGAAATTAACAGCAATAGGCTAAATAAAACAATTTTATTATTAGAAATTCTAAAAATGTTATAAATGTTAAAGAAAAAAAATAAAAAAAATTATAGCCCATGGCTAACATAACACTACATATAAAATTTTATAGTATTCTGAGTTATAAAATATAATATATGTAGCCAGAGTTAGAAAAATGTATAGCATTAAATATATTCATTTAAAAATAAGATTTAAAACGTGAACTAAAATTGCAACTGGCAAAGCTAGAAGGAAAAACATTTGAATAAATTTTAAAAGTAGAGAAAGGATTTTTAAAGATAAATATAAATACTGATGAAGTAGATTATAAATCTAAAAGAGCCATTAGGGTTTGATTAATACATCCAGTTCTTTCTAAGAAAAGACCAATAATACACAGTAAATTCAAAAAGTCCGATTAAGAATAAATTACAAATAAATAAATATAATACTGTATACAAACCTATTGAGATTTAAAATTTTTTTAAAATCCTATATGCAAATTTATGCAGATAAATTCGAAATACTAAATGAATCGGTACTTTTCAACAAAAATATATTCTATACAAATGAAAGGCAGTTAAATGTAAACTTGGAAATTATTTTCTTAAATAGTACAAAAATCTATCCCCTGAAAACATCAGATTTAGAAAGTTTTGAGGACAAATCTAATAAATTTTTTAAAAAGAAGTGAATCCTGGAGAATTTAAAAGACTCAAAAACAGAAAAACTAAAAATTTCTCAAATTAATTTCAAGAATTCATCATAATTTTAGCTTGAGAACTAGAAACAATAATGTACATGTACACATAGAGAGAGGAAAAAGACTCTCATAGAGATACAGTTATGATTATGATCAAACAAACTAGTAAAATTGTATATTCTAAACATAGCAGTACATTAAAACATCATGGCCAAATAGATTTTATTCTAAGAATGCAAGATTGATTCAAAATTAAAACTCAATTTATTAAACTTAAAGGGGTAAAATTGGATGAATTCTATAAACAACTATAAAAAATAATAAGGTTCCAAACCCATTCAATATTAAAATTCAGAGCTATCAATAGAAGAAACTTTCTCAAGTTTCATAAAGACTAATTATTAGAAGCCACCAACAAAGATAATAAATGACAAGTGCCACAAGTGTTCCCAGTTAGGAAAAGGAAATACATCAGCATCACTTATTAAACCTTGGTTTGGAGGTCCTAGCCAAGGCCACAAAAAATAAAAAAAGTCATGGTTTTAAGAAAGAAGAAATCTCAAGGGGCAAAATAGGTAAGAACCCAGTTTTGCTAAAATCTAAATGCAAAAATGGAGAATGAAGGCATAAAAGCCAAAACATTTACAGTGTGTTTTGACAAAACTATGTTTTTTCTGGGCAGCATGATTATAAAACATTTCTTGTTCCCTTGTTTGTAATTTTCTATTTTTCTAAATATTCTACATTGGTAATGTGTGATTTTTATAGTCAGAATCAAGTTACTAACATAATTAAGTAATACACCTCAGAGTAGCACTGCTAATCATTATTTCCAAAATTATTTTATTTATGTAACCATTAAGAATAGTCTATTGAAAGTAATAACTTTAATTTTTGTTAATTTTAGTAAGTAGAATAATTTCTAAAAATAATGAATTAGGAATTTTTAAAAAGTAAAAATATTCTTTCAAAATAATGAAAATTTGACTTCTTATCAAGAAGGCTTATGTGACAGTAAAGTAAATTTTTCTCAAAGGTGTGAAGGCTTTAAAGTAAACCTATATTGATTTTCAGCACCTAATTTGACATTCAAATGCTATATTTTTCATACTTCACCGTACTATTAAGTTTCATAATTTAAGTGGTTACTTGCTACTCTATTTTCATTTTTAAAGTATGATGAAAACATTCATTTATGAATCTGAATATCCTGTTCATAAAGAAACACTTACACTGGGAGCTCAAACCTTTCTCACTCTTCAAGAAGTTAAATGCTGGGATTATAGCTTGGCCTTTTCCAGTGGAGCTCACCATAGTTTCTTCATTTTCTAGGACCTGCAGCTTGATGAATGCATCTGGTTTGGATGTGCGTACCTGTATTGTAGCAGGTTGTGGTGTTACAACTTTAACAGAATATCTGTAAAGAAAAAAAGTTAACATTATAAGCAAGTATGTTGGTCCTTTTCTCATGTCAGTAAGCAAGATAGTTTGGATATGTGTCCCTGACCAAATCTCCTGTCAAATTGTGATACTCACTGTTGGAGGTGGGGCCTGGTGGGAGGTAACTGGATCTCGGGGACAGGTTTCTCACAAATGGTTTAGCACCATCTACTTGATGCTGTTCGCATGACAGTGAGTGAGTTGTCATGAGATCTGGTTGTTTAAACATGTGTTTAACCTCATTCTCCCTTTCTCTCGCTCTTACTCCTGCTCTGGCCATGTGACACGCCTGCTCACCCTTCCCCTTCTTCCATGATTGGAAGCTTCCTGAGGCTTCCCTAGAAGCTGAGCAGATGCCAGCATCATCCTTTCTGTACAGCCTGCAGAATTGTGAGTCAATTAACTCTCTTTTCTTCAGAAATTACCCAGTCTCAGGTATTTGTTTATAGCAACGCAAGAACAGACTAATGCAGTAAGGAAAATAGTCTAATTTTCTGATATGATAAGCTATAAGTAAAACTACTTTTAAAGTCCACTAACATCCTGAAAATACTGGAGTTATTATAGACTTTGGCAAAAGATCCCAATATAGTAACTGCAAAACAACAGGAATATAGAACTTTTATTATCATCAAATCCCAGATTTAAAAAATGTAACTTTTTGTTTAGATGTAGTAAGCAGTCACTTATCAAACTTGATAGGCCTACAAAGGATATGGACAGACACTTCTCAAAAAAATGTCACACACATGGCAAAAAAACACATGAAAAATAGCTCAACATCACTGATCACTAGAGAAATGCAAATCAAAACCGCCATAAGATACCATCTCAAATCAAAACCGCAATAAGATACCAGTCAGTATGGAGATTATTAAAAAGTCAGGAAACAATAGATTCTGGCAAGGTTGCAGAGAAGTGGAAACTCTTTTACACTGTTGGTGGGAATGTAAATTAGTTCAATCATTGTGGAAGGCAGTGTGGTGATTCCTCAAAGATTTAGAACTAGTACTACCATTTGACCCAGCAATCCCATTACATATATACCTCATTATATAGGAATATAAATCATTGTATTATAAAGATACATGCACACATATGTTCATTGCAGCTCTATTCACAATAACAAAGGCATGGAATTCACCCAAATGCCCATCAATGATAGAATGGATAAAGAAAATGTGGTACATATGCACCATGGAATACTATGCAGCCATAAAAAGGAATGAGATTATGTTCTGTGCAGGGATATGGATGGAGCTGGAAGCCATTATCTTCAGCAAACTAACACAGGAACAGAAAACCAAACACTGCATGTTCTCACTTATAAGTGGGAGCCGAACAATGAGAACACGTGGACACAGGGAGGGGAACAACACTTACTAGGGCCCGTTGGGGGAGGGCGGGGGTGGGAGAGCATTAGGGAAAAGAGCTAATGCATGCTGAGCTTAATACCTAGGTGATGGGTTGATAGGTGCAGCAATCCACCATGGCACATGTTTACCAATGCAACAAACCTGCACATCTTGCACATGTATACCAGAACTTAATAAAAATAAATAAATATAAAACTTGATAGCCCTAAAAACCACCAAACCTCTTAATAGATCTGCAAACCGCTGCCACATCAACCCTCTCTGTTACACAAAAATCACTACTGGCAGAAGAATATTTTGGAGCTTCACTGATAATAGCATTTTCTGTGATTCACAAAAATACAGAGAAATTAAAGTAGTACCCATAGCCTTCACCTTCACTTCTCACCAATAGTTTGGAAATCTCTTGCGAAAAGACAGGCAACATGCAATCTAATTCATTCTTTCCAACTCCCCCTTTAATGGAATTAAAGAGTTGGCTTCTTGCTCTTATTTTAGGTGATTCCTCACAAATGCCCAGGACTCTATCAACTTTTAATTTCTCTAGAAATTTGTTTTTCTGAGTATCGTGTCTCTCATATATACGACGATGTTAAAAGACAACACTTGTTTTTCTCTCTGTATATGGAAAAGGTCACCCAGGCTGGAGTGCAGTGGTGCAATCATGGCTCATTGCACCTCAAACTCCTGGGCTCCAGTGATCTTCCCACCTCAGACTCCAACATAGCTGGGACTACAGGTATGCATCACCATGCTTAGCTAAGTTTTTATTTTTTGTAGAGACAGGATTTCACTATGTTATCCAAGCTGTTCTTGAACTGCTGGGCTCAAGCAATCCTTCTGCGTCAGCCTTGTAAAGTACTGAGATTACAGGCATGAATCACCATGCCTGGCCTCTCTCCTGTATCTTAAATAAACTCCACTCTTTATTCCTCCTTGAAATTAGCTTGTGTATAAGTACAGTTCTTTCCTGTCTTTAAAACAGATAAAAACAAGGCAAAAAACAAACCAACACAACTTTCAGTCCACTGCAGTTCAGACTCTACTGCATTTTTCTCCTCCCAGCTCGGCACCTAAGGAGAGTTGTCTGCTCCCACACTTCTCATCTTCCACTTGCTTACTCCGTCACCAACACAGGTGATATGGTTTGGCTCTGTGTCCCCACCCAAATATCATGTTAAATTATGATAATCAGTGTTGGAGGAGCAGCCTGGTGGAAGGTGATTGGATCATGGTGACGGAATTCCCCCTTGCTGTCCTCGTGAGAGTGAGTGAGGTCTCATGAGATCTGGTTGTTTGAAAGTGTATAGGAAGTGCTGTACACTTTTCTCTCTCTTTCTCTTTCTCTCTATACACCTTTTTTTCTCTCTCTCTCTATCTCTCTCCTGCTTTGCCATGTGAAGATTGTTCCTGCTTCCTTTTCATCTTCTGCCATGATTGTAAGATTCCTGAGGCTCCCCCAGCCATGTCTCCTGTGCATCCTGTAAAATTGTGAGTCAATTGTACCTCTTTTCTCCATAAATCACCCAGTCTCAGGTATGTCTTTATATCAGTGTGAGAACGAACTAACATATCATGTGCTAAACTTACTCTTGCCAAGGTTTCAAGGAGTTTGTCACCATCTATACAAACTTCAGTTCTTATCTTCCTTTACCTCTCAGGAGGATTTGACAGTGTTGACTGGACCCTGATTTCCTCCTCCTTTAAAAACACTTCCACTATAAGCACAGCAACTTTTATACTTTCTCTCCTATTTGGGGGCTGCTTTGCTTCCATTGACAGACATTCCCACAAATGTCAGAGAGTCTTCATGTTCTGTCCTGGATCTGATTCTCATTTTACAAACTTTCCTGGGCACTTCCATGATCAGTAACAGAATAATGACTTCCAAATTAATGTCTACAGTGGAACTACTGATGCAGTATCACTTGGCTATTTCACTAGACCGCCACATTTAAAAACTAAAAAGGAATTAATTAATTGTCTTCCTATGGACCCCCTTGCAAATTAGTTTCTCCCCTTTATCTAGGTACACGATATCATCCAAACATTTCCCCAAGTCAAACTCTAGAACTCCAGCAAGGCTGTCAATTTTACCTCAATATCTTAAAATCCTTCTTCTTCTCTCCAGATTCACTGTCAGTACCTGTTACAGATGGAGTTGTATCCCCTCCTACCACCAAAGATCTATTGAAGTTCAAACCCGCAGTGCTTCCCAATGTCACCTATTTGGAGATAGGGTCTTTTGCAGGTAATCAAGTTAAAATAAAGTCATTAGAATGGGCTCTACTCCAGTATGATTGATGTCTTATAAAAAGGGGAAATTTGGTACTGGGCACTGTAGCTCATTCCTGTAAATGCAGCACTTGGGGGGCCACGGCAGGTGGATTGATTGAAGCCAAGAGTTTGAGACCAGTCTGGTCAACATAGCAACAGTCTGTCTACAAAAAATTAAAAAATTAGCTGGGCATGGTGGCATGTGCCCATAGTACCAGCTACGGTGAGGTGAGAGGGTTGCTTGAGGCAGGAGTTAGAGTTTGCAGTGAGCCATCATTGCACCACTGAACTCCAGCTGGGAGACAAAGTGAGCTCTGTCTCTAAAGAAAAAGAGAAATTTGGAAATAGAGGCACACAGGGGAAAACACCACATGAAGATAATGGCAGTGATAGATGTGATGCTTCTAAAAGCCAAAGATAACCAGCAAACCAGAAGAAGCCAGGAGAAAGTCATGGAACAGGTTCTCTCCCACAGCCTCAGTAGGAACCAAACTTGTTGACACTTTGATCTCACACTTCTATTAATAGTTTCCACAGCTCTCTGCAACAATAAATGTCCATTGCTTAAGCCACCCACCCGTGTGTGGACTTTCGTTATGGTAGTCCTAGCAAGTCAATATGCTGCCCTCCTTCAGACTGCCTTAATCTCACTCCTGGATTATTTCAAAGCTTTTACCTGGTTTCCCTCCCTCCAGCTATGCTCCCCTCCCATTCATTCAACACACTGCTGCCTTAAGTGAAGTTGTTTTTTCATAATCCATGTCTTTTATGATTAAATATGATTTTAAAATAATACAGTTCTGACATCTTTTCTGTTAGAAAATCTAATTAGTAGGCTGGGCACAGTGGCTCACATCTGTAATATCATGACTTTGGGAGGTAGACGCAGGTGGATCACTTGAGGCCAGGAGTTTGAGACCAGCCTGGCCAACATGGTGAGACCGCATCTCTACAAAAAATACAAAAATTAACCAGGTGTGGTGACACACAACTATAATCCCAGCTACTCAGAAGCCTGAAGCACGAGAATCACTTGAATCTGGGAGTCAGAGTTTGCAATGAGCCAAGATCGTGCCACTACACTCCAGCCTGGGTGACAGAGGGAGGCTCTGTCTAAAAAAAAAAAAATATATATATATATATATACATATGTATATAAATTATTATATATAGATATTTATATTTTTATATACATATATAATTATATAAACATTTATATATACATTTTTATTCTATATAATATAAAACACATTATATATTATATATTACATTATATACATATATAATTCATGCTATGCAGACATAATTTTTAATACACGTCTGATAATGTCATCTTTCTTAAAATCCTTTAAAGAATACCCTTGCTCCTAATGCAAAAATCCATATTTCTTGTCCAGTGAGGCTCTTCTCAGAAGGCCTTTGCTGACTTTCTGGTCTTACCACTTACTATAGCATGCTGAAACCCAACTCGCCAAACAAAACAATGTCTTGAGTTTCCAGAAAATGTTGTATATCCTTTAATTTACGAACTTTCACTTAGGCTACTTGAGCAGCCCTGTCTTCACCTGCCTCACTGCTCCGCTTGATAACTTTAATACCAGCTTCTGGGACTAATTTAGGTAGCAGGTTATGTTGGACCAGAGTGAGCATAGAAAATCAACACCAAGACAAAAGTATGCCAAATTGCAGGGTCTTTATTGCCGGCGGCCACGGAGGACTCAGTCTCTCCAACCCGTGGCCCCAAGCTCAGGGGGAGCAGGGTTTTTAAGCTGAAAAACCACATCCTGGCTTTAGGACCAAGAGGGTGACGGGATGCAGGGCAAGCAACTTTACAGAAGCTATTTCTGGCAGTTTCTGATAAGTAAAGGCAAGCAGCTTTACACAGTGGGCTTCCTGGAATTTGGGGAAATTCTAAGTGGTCCCTGGTGGAGAGCTGCAAGTCAAACATTACAATAGAAAACTTTTTCTTCTCTTTCTTTTCAATCAGCATTTTTCAGAGCAAGCTAGCTGTTTTTATTTACAGAAGCCAAGGTCAGCAGCTATCGCAAGGAAAACGGGGCAGCAAGCAGTTATCACAAAGGAAACGGGGCAGCAGTTATAACTTATTTTTGGAAAAACCGTTTTTCTTGGTGCTTGCGGGGTACAGGGTTTAAGATGGCGTTGCTTAGGTTCTAACTCTGGGTTAGCTATGGCACAGTTAAATGTCACATTTTAGTCTATTAGTGACCCTGGCATGTGATACAATGGTTTTCTATCACAGTAGTTAAACTATTTTATCACAATTTCTGTTTTTAGTAATTGGTATTTTTTTTTCTTCTTGGGAATGTGCATATTTTCCAAATTCTCTGTGCAGAGAAATGTACATTAAAAAGAGAAGTATTCTAACAACTTGTAGAAAACACATTGTTAATGGAGGCCAGTTATGTATTAGGCACTGTGTTAGGTCCTATATTGAAACTAAATGATTCTTGCCTTCAACCAATGCTAATTCTCATAATGGCTAATGTGCAATTGACCAGATAGAATTTGATATGTCACAGTCTCAGAGAGAACAAAGGACTATAGGAACATAACCAGAGCCAAGTAATTATATTTGAAGGTTTAAGCACAAAAATTTTTACTATTGAAAATTATCATTAAAAGTGATGGATTTTTTGAAGAGGAGAGGTGGGGACAGGACACATGAGAAAGGAGGAAAGACATGAGCAAAATAAAACTGCTGGGCATATATGTCAGGAGGTGGTTGTTAGTTCCAACAGGAGCGTGCACTGTGTTAGGCGTCTGTTCAAGAATGCTAAGTAGCATGCTATGTTGTTCAGAGTTTATCTGCAGCCAGTGGAAAGTTACCAAAGGTTTTAAAGCAGGAAAATCACATATTTAAATACGTAGCTTGAAAGGCATTTACCCTAGTAGTAAAGGATGAGTATGAAAATGGATATGGAGAGAGAGAAAAAACTGATACAGTGCAGAAAAGGGAATTAAATAGAGCCGTGGATTCCAGAAACACAACAATTCTATAGACTGAAGATAATGAGGGCTAGAAGCAGTGCAGGGACATTGAAGACTGATTCATGAAGGAGAGTGGAATCTATGATTAGGCTATTTAAGCAGAACACTGCACAGAGATGGGTATGAAAATAAGGCTGAGTTGGCTGATAAAGAAACTCCTACAAAATACTAGCCAGGGATGGAGCAGCAGCAGAAGAAAGTGGTAAGAGAAAGCCATGTCATGATGAATCTTTAATCAAAGTTGAGTAGGTTGAAAACTAAGGAAATGTCATTACCATTATATGCAGCCATACAGGCTTAATCTTATATAACACATACATAATCACATTACACTCAATTAATTGTTTCTAAAAAGAATATAGAAATTGAAATCAAAACCGAGTCAGCATTTTACTGCAGAATTTATTTTGATCCTAAAATATTAACATTTTTAAACAAATGCATTTCCCCTTCTGTCATATACTTGTACCTGAATAAAATGTTCTTATCATTAGGTATGTAGTAATCTCGGATTTCCTTTATGGCAAAGGTACTGCATGGAGGGTCTCGAGAGAGGCATGGCAGTGGAGCGTAAGAACCAATGAGGCGCAGTTTCCACCGTGAGCCTGGTACGAATGTGTCACCTGTAAATGCTTCCGCCACAAAAGTGTATCCCTTCTATAAGAAAGATAAATTACACAGAAATGAGTTATATTGTTATTCTCTCAAATGTACTATATCTCATAGTACTCAATGTCTTATTACGATATACTTATAGGTCCCAAGATCTCTTAATAAACATAGAATCACTAGGATTATGTTTGGAATTTCTCTTAGAAAGCACTATCCTACAAAGCTTTCAGGAAAACAATAGACTCTGATATTTTCCTTTCTGTGGTTCCTTAACTATAAAATAAAGTGCTTAACTACAGTAGATGATTACTATGTCCTCTTCTAATTCTTCTAATGCCTCCCACGGCAAATTTTTATCATTGCACCATCCCAGGGTAGCCCAATAACTTCTTACTTGATTTTCCTGTCTCCCAGGTCCAACTTTCTGGAATACCAAAATAAGAAAAGCAGACGAGTTCAAAGAAATGTATTCCGTTGATATGACAGGTAAAGCTATAAAATTAATAGCTGATGTGATTCCACAGAACCCAGATTTGTGATTGAGAATGAGCTCTTTAGGTTGCAGAAACGCAGCAGCTCAAGAGCCTGGGAATGGCTTACTTTATGGTGGGCAACAGCTTGGTTTAATTGGATATCTGGCTAAGAAGTCAGTGAATCAAAAGCATGATATCATAATAGATGCAAATATTCAAAGTAATTCTGAGATTGTATTTCCAGATGTCCCTAATAAAGAATAAAAAATAGGTTTGTCTTTCATCCATACTCTGTTCACAGAAAGCTCTCTGGTATGTTTAGATTTCCAGAAGTAAAAATTAGATATATATATATAAGCCAGAATGAATTTTTTAAAGGTCGCATAGACATCTGGAAGTATTAGCTGGAATTCCAATCCCCATAATGAGATGAGAATTGCAACACCGACAAGGACTTTTTGATATTATGTTTGGGGCAAGTTAAAAAAAATGTATAATAAAGCATTTTTACTTGCAAAGTATAATGCACATATGCATTGATATTTTTATTATTATTTGAGTCTATTATTTAATTATTGTACTAATGAATTAAAGAGGCAAAGCAAAATTATTTTATTTGAGTTTTTATGCTAAATATTTTGTACTAAAATTATTGTATTAATGAATTAAAGAGGAAAAGCAATATGTATTATTTTGTTTTTGCTTAGACTCAGAATAATTTTAAAAGGAAAAAGTTATTAAGTGGTGAGATAGATATTAAATGTGAAAATCTAAAGCTAAATCAGTGATAGGATTACAAGACAGAAATTGGCGATCCTAAATGGATTCAGTAGTAAAAAGAGTTATATCATTGAGTACTGAGTATTGAGGGATCCCGTAGGCTAGTATTCTGAATTACAGTGTATGGCCTTGAATATTTATGAAAATATAGAGCAAATAATTCTGATTTTTCAAACTTAAGAAGAATATATGCTCTTCAAAACAAAGACTAGTAAGTTTAATAATGGTGCTTATCAGGGTTCTGCCGTAGCTCATAAAAAGGATGTCTCATGAGAACCTCAAAGAAAAAAACCTGTTCTTAAAGCCAGCATGGGTTTATTGGGAACAAAAATTTATTTACTTTTTTCATAAGATTAGAAGACACAAAATCAGGTAAAAGTTGCAGACATGGTGTTTATTAATTTCAGGCAGGCATATGTCACGGCCTCTAGTGAATTTCACATGGGTCAGGATAACTCTTGATGAGCCTGGAGGCAGAATTAACCACAAAATTCCCACCTAAGATTGCTAGTTATATAACTGTTCAATAGAGTTTTAGACATTATGTATCCAGCCAAAGATATTTTCTCTTGAGTCGACCCTATCAACATGCCTCATAGGTGCCAAAAGACTGATGCAATTACAGGGTATGAAACAATAGAGCAATGATCCTCTTTACATTTTGTGAATTACTGTCAGAGGCAACGTTCAGTTCTGGGAACCACATTTTAGCAGGGATGTAGGTTGTTTGCTTAAATGTTCAAAGATCAAGAATTATGAAGAGAGGAAAACTGCAGCACAAAAGGGACCACTGAAGCTATTTATTATTATTATTTTTTTTGTAGATGGAGTTTCGCTCTTGTCACCCGTGCTGGAGTGCAGTGACATGATCTCAGCTTACTGCAACCTTCACTTCCTGGGTTCAAGCGATTCTCCTGCCTCAGCCTCCTGAATAGCTAGGACTATAGACGCACACCACCATGGCTGGCTAATTTTTGTGTTATTAGCAGAGACATGGTTTTGCCATGTTGGCCAGGCTCATCTCGAACTCCTGACCTTGTGACTCCCCCTCTCGGCCTCCCAAAGTGCTGGGATTATAGGTGTGAGCCACCGTGCCTAGGCTTAACTTTTTTTCTAAACAGAGCTGGCTAGAGTGAGAGGGTAAAAGAGATAAAATATGAGACAGGAAGTAGGTTTGCTGCAATCTCAGTTTACAATGTAAAAATAATAGTTAAGTACAGAGAGAATGTTCTGCACATTGACTCAAAATGTATCACTTACAGCTATCCAAAAAATTCAGGCTTAATCTAGAGAGGGAGGTCTACAATGGAGTTTCTAAAACAAAAACCAAACCCTAGGATGGATGCCAGATATGAATAACAATAACAATCAGATTCATATTTGGTTCAACCAAATAGTCTTTAAAGATTCCTTCTAAAATGAAGTATTCATGACTAACAGTATATCTGTCCAGTAATACAGAATTCACTGCTAGATTTTGATGAGATCTATAATCTTGATAGAGTGTCCCTTTAAATTAAATCATCTTTCTCCTCTTAATGTTCGTGGATTTTGAATTCTAAAGACAATTTAAATAAACTGTTTCTATTCAAAAGGAAGTCTAGCTCCAACATTAAAAACAAACATTCAAAAAATAATCCACTGGTGTGTAGACAAGTTTGTCCCTACAGTTTGATTTAGCCCAAGGCATTCTGCCGCAGAAAGGTAAGGTTTGGAGGAGGGGTGTTCAATCTTTTGGCTTTCCTGGGCCGTAATGGAAGAATTGTCTTGGGCCATGCATAAAATACACTAACACTAAACGACAGCTGATGAGCTAAGAAAATAAAGAGTGAGGAAAAAAAAAAAAAAAAAACTCATAGTGCTTTAAGAAAGCTTACGAATTTGTGTTGGGCCATATTTAAAGTCATCCTGGACAGCATGTGGACTATGGGTTGTGGGTTGGACAAGCTCGGTTTAGAAATATTTATTAGTACATGGGGAAGAATAAATATAGTTTAAAGGCAATTGTGTGAGTCAAATAAAGTTTGTCAATATGTGTTTGATGTACAGGAATTAAATTTTATTAGCAAAATATTCTGTTTTTAAGTGATATATAAATGCCCTTTCAAGGTAATTAACAATAATAATAAGTAAAAATAATATATTGATGCATTGACTTTGAGTTTTTAAAAATTATGTTTAGATGTAGAATTATAAACATAGATAACCGCACACAAATATATTTATGTTTATCAGATTTTCTTATAAAATGTAAATGCCAAACTTGCCAAATTTAATACAAAATAAAAGTAATTTAAGCCCGTTACAATTTGATATCTTCAAATTTAATAAAATCTGATTGTAATATCAAACAAATCTATCTTATTAAAAATTATAGAAAAAACATGCTAAGGGTTTAATGAAACATATACAACTTTTAAAATTATAATAAAATTAAAAAAACAAAAAACAGATTATATATGTATATAATATACACATACACACACACGTATCAATGGGGTTAAGTAATTTCATCAAGAATTTAATTGCCCTTATTTTTAAAATGTTTCTTAAAATCTCTAACAGCATGAAAGATCTATTAGGATTTTTATGAAGTTAATACATTCTTAAATTTAACCTTCATTCACACAAAAGCAGTATTCACAAGATAAGTATGTCCTAATTTATACAAAATAATGTATAGAATCATTATTATTCATTATTCATAGGGTGAAATGAATCTCATAAGTCAAGTACAGACGTAACTCAAAAAGAAAAATGAAGAGGTTCAAAGACATAAAGCTGAGAATGGAAGATCAGAGCTAAAAGCACCCTTTTCATATAGAGCTAGGTATACTCTATCCTTTGTTGTGATTCCCTCTTAGAGGAAATGACTGAAAAGACAAATATGAGATTTAAATAAACAGAGAAGCGATGTGGTTTGAGTGAAGGTCAGAGATCAGAGTCTATCACTCAGCCAGAGGTAGGTACCCAAGTACCTCTGGTTGCTAAAGGAATTTATGTAGCCCTCAAAGTGAGGTGGTGATGATTGGTGGCTATGTGACCACAATTTTCAGGAGTAAAATAATAACCCAGTGGGAAACAAAGATAATCATCTGATTTGGTTTTGGGATAAGGCTAAAGGAGCTTTTCAGATTCATTTCATTTTAAGCATTTATAAGCTTTTTAAATTTCAATAATTAGAGTTTATAATGCTTTCTTTTTGCCATATTTCTTTGAGGAGAAGAAGAAAGAGGGTTGAGAGGTAAAGAATGTTTTAGCATTTACATTAAATATCTCCTACTGTTAAATATATGGGATTTCTATAGTGAAAGATCAGGGCCTTATTTGCCTGTTAAGTAGATTAAAAACAACTCTGCCTTCCCTTCAGGACCCCTGTACAAGCTGGTGGATTTTCATTGCCATTCTATCATATGGGGAGAATACATTTTATACCTACCTTATTCCTTGTATAAAGATAAGGCACCACTTTTTGGAACACCTTTGGCACTTGTTCCATTGTGTCATTATTAACAACGTGTAGTATACAGGTCGGAAGTGTAGTGTATACTTTGGGAACCAAAATCATATCTTGAGGAACGAAAAATGTTTCTCTGTAATTATAAGAGCATGAATTTTCCCTTGACATGAATCTTAAAGAAAGTTTGAAATTTGCATTAATGCCAAGAAATTTTTTAAAAATCAAAAGTTCCAAATAACTACAAGGCACACATATTATTTTATTTTTAAAATTACTATTAATGTGCTATTTTGTCAAGTAAATGCAAACTCTATTTTAAAAATTCCATTTTATAATTTGTGACTTTTACCAAATATGCTATTGCTTAGAAATTAAAGGATCTTTTTCTATACTAAAAGCATATTAATTTGTTATATTATTTTTATCATGAATGTAAAAGGTTCTAACAAGTACTACACATTCTTCATATTTTGATGAAAGAACATAGATAAAAATTTCTGTGATATCTCATTTAAGATGCCAAGTGTGGAAGAATTTTAACTAACTTATGAAAGCAACCCAGAAGCTAATACCTTTACTACTATTATAAATAAATATTCATAAATATGAATATTGCAAGTCATTTAAAGACATTATTTGTCATTATATAATAACCTCACCTGAATACTATAAACCAAGAATTTGGTGGCTGTTCTTGATAAGTGACACTATAATCCGCAAAAGCGATCTTGGTTTCTTCATCTTGATAGCATGGGTAAGATTCCATAGACTTGCACTTGCTTTTGAACATTAGTCTAGAAATATAAAAATAAATGGCAAAAGCCACTTTAAAAATAAACTCTATTCACAAAAAGAAATGACAAAAAATAGTATAAGATATTGCAAGTCATTGTTTGCTAGACTGAGATCTTGATCAAAGGGGGTCTGTGTAGTCCCTGATGCATGGTGCCAAGTTAAGGAGACCCATTCTAGGTCAGTCACAAAAAATGTCTGTCAAAGGTGCCCAAGGTTGTCTGAGGCTCTCAAAGGAGAACACAATTCATGATTGAGGGAGTAAAGTTTATAGGTGGGAAACCAGAACCAAAATTGAAGCTATACGAATAGAAAAACTAGAAGCAAGCAAACCAGCAACAAAACTGGGTGAGAGACTCTGAAGGGTCAGGAATTAAAGTAGAGAGTGGAGCCTGAAATGGAGTTTAAGGTGAGAAATAAGTTTGGAAAAATAGATTTTAAAAATCAAAGGCTATGCTCAAGTGGAGAGTGCTGGCTTTCCTCCTACATAATTTCCTGATGTATAAGACAGTAGAGAATACACTGCTAAAATAATTACGGAGCTGAGATTTCCCCATGCTTTGCCCCTGGAAGTCTGCGATACATTCCAGAACATAATGGGAGTGATGATGTGATGGATCTTCCGGGTCTTATCACTCTCATTTTGCCAGAAACTGGATGTGCCCTTAGTAGCACCAGGAATATAAGACCATTTACATGATGTCTCAGGTATTAGCTGGGATGGAAGCCATTATGGCCATAGCAAATGGTTCTCTTTTAGAAGTCTAGACAGAGCTAGATGTGTTCTTGTCTTCCAGAAGGCAGATGTTTTTATTGATTGTCACATATTCCATTTCATTATTGGTTTTTGTTGATCCTAGATTTTTGGTAGGAGGAAATTAACAGGATTATACTTGGAAGGGGTTTAAAAGGCCTTTTAAAATGGTGGCAAGGACAGAGAATAAGGACATATATCCTGGTTTGCCTGGGACAGTTGTGGTTTATACTGACAGTACTGGCCTAATTATTAACAGTTCTCCATCTTTTCTTGTCAGTGTCCCAATATGGATGATCAATGACATAATAATTCTAACTAGGAGCTATACAGTGCAGGTCTGTCAATGCAAGACACCCCTGTAAATCACACAGGGCTTGCCTAATCTACACAAGGATGTGGACTCAACCAACATGGGAATTAAGCTGGTCGCAGTGGGAATTGACTGTAAGGGGACCCGCCACCATTCTAAAATGAGGGTGGGATTTCTGTTCTTCCCAGACTATCACTGTTCCCCTTATACATTCTACCCTTTTTCATATACCTCAGGAAATCCTAATGAATGTAGGGCCATCAAAATCCTGATGAACTATGCAGAATATTTTGAATGACTCAGAGCGAGGTACCTGACTGAGTGGGAAGATTTAGCCTTAATAAAGAATTAGTTTCAATCTAGTCAGATTTTTGTTTGATATGATTTCCTCATAGGGGAGCTCATTTTTAGACATCATTTGCAAGAAAATTGGGTGAAAGATCTTCCTAGGATAGGTCCCACAATGCCGAACCAGCTTACACAAGAGGGTCTGTTCTTTGTGTGTGTGTCTATACAATTGGATTGAATAGTTAAG